ATCAGACAGGATAATTACTTTTAAAACGGTTTTTAGTATCAGACAGGATAATTACTTTTAAAACGGTTTTTCGTTATAAATCATTCTTTCATACGTCTTGCAATGTTTTTTTCTTTTGGCACGTTTTTCAACAGTTCGTATCCTATGGTTGTAAACATCGCTGTTTCACGTATATCTTTAATAAGATGATGATTGATGACATGCCTAACAGTAAGATTACCTAACTGGTGAATAAATTCAACGTATTACTTAGAATTTTCTGGAATTTTATTGGTTGGCATTGAAAACTTTCATGTCTTCTCCTTAATCTTAATGACCACCCTAAGGCTACGAAGCTTTGGTGGGAAGAATATCGGGATGATGAAAGCGACATCTAGTGCCAATGATTGTGTGTAAGGACTATAGAGCCAAAATATCGTATAGAACAGTTAGAGCATGGTTCGCGTCTCGTCGCCGCAAAATAGCGTTTCGTACTTTTGGGCCATAGGTGTGTTATAAGGGTAACGGTCAAACCCATTAGATCAAAAGTTTGCGGTTGGTGGTCTACAAGTTTAAAATTAGTGACGGCTATGCGCTAACCCTTATGTGGCTTTGTGCGAAATTATGAAAATAAACTTATCGATGGTACAAAGACTTTACCATAGGTTTTCATGGATTGTATTATTTCTTACAATTTTAAGTGATTTCTATTTTTTTTTTCTCAGCCCAATGTTTTCTATATATTATTTCGTTTTTAAGAAGTTATGAAAAAAAAGGAATTTCTTGCAAACATTTCAAAATGTCAGATTAGTTTAATGTTTCTTAGCATTAAGACTTTTAGTTAACATTTTTACAGATTACTATTTAATACTTGGTCTTGATTGTTTTTTTGGGCTATCTGTGCTATTTCAATCACGGGTATCGAAACCTAATTTATAGCGTCGTAAGCCTGAAGACTTACCGCTGAGCCACAGGGGGGCTATTACCTCTTAAAGTAGAACTTTGGTTAGTGATAGCAATCTCATCTAATCTAAAGTAGTAAATCAACAATTACCATGGTGTATTAAGGAAAAAAATCCAACGCTTAAAAGTAAACAATAAATATTTAAAAATGAGACTGTCTATAGTGTTGTGAGTAATAATGTCAACCATTGTGAACTATTAAACGTTAGATTTTTCTTTTAATTTTGGAAATTAAAACAAGTGCTGTCCTGACCTTGATAGTAAATTACCCGCGAAAAAAGTCGAAACTTTTCCCCGAAATAATTATTTTGAACGATTTCACGTCCCAGCTAGTTTTCCTGCAAATCCATGAATCCACCAGTCCCGAAACCCCTTTGATCCACGAGTAGGGAGCCATGTTAGAAAATTTGAAAATATAAATTTGAATGATTGATTACATGTTAGTGCAAATTTTCAAGTAAACGGATTCACTCAAACCCGAAAGTTCAAAACCCCCTAGCTCCAATCTACCTGAGAGGTCAAAACCCCCTAGCTCCAATCTACCTGAGAGGTCAAAACCCCCTAGCTCCAATCTACCTGAGAGGTCAAAACCCCTAGCTCCAACCTACCTGAGAGGTCAAAAACCCTTAGCTCACACCTACCCGAGAGGTCAGAAACCCCCTAGCTCCTATCTTTGGTTTCCATCGTGACTTTACTGAGAATTTTTCTCTTCATTTGTATTGTGTCAAGAGCTTACGAAGAAAATTTAAAGTGTTTTGAAAAATTTGGTTACAAAAATTGTAGGAGCTAAAAATTATCTAAACATAGAATACAATTTAGAATTACTGAATGTAATATATTATATAACAAAACAAGAGTGAAATTATTAATTGGTTGTGATTGTTTTGACATTTACCATCAAAAGAAGGTTCTTCAAGTCTTTAGTTTCCCTTCGTCTAAGACACCTGGGACCTTCGTTAGTGACGTCAGGAGCTAGTGTCTTGTATTTAATCAAACTGGGGTACTCAGAAGTACGTATCGTGTTGAAGTTTCACGAATATGGTTTTACTTTTGACAGACTTCGGTTCTTGACGATTTAAGTAGTACAGCTTACAAATATCCCTGGCTTATATATACCCACACGTGAAGGAACAACACACACTTATGTAAATATTGGTACTGTTTAAACTCGGAGCATAACAAGAGAGGAATTTTAAACGATTCTAGTGAACACATTCATCACAGATGTACAGGATCATATCAAACGATTCAAGTGAACACGTTCATCACACATGTACAGGATCATGTCAAACGATTCAAGTGAACGCGTTCATCACACATGTACAGGATCATATCAAACGATTCAAGTGAACACGTTCATCACAGATGTACAGGATCATATCAAACGATTCAAGTGAACACGTTCATCACACATGTACAGGATCATGTCAAACGATTCAAGTGAACACGTTCATCACACATGTACAGGATCATTCAAACCATTCAAATGAACACGTTCATCACGTATGTATAGGATCATGTCAAACGATTCAAGTGAACACGTTCATCACATATGTACAGGATCATCAGCACCTTGCTATACAAACCAACATAGATCGAATCAGATTTACAGTGTCTTTCGGGTTCATATACTCACAACTTGTTTTTTAATTTATTACCTAAAAAAGTTTCCTTTAAAGTCCTTTATGCTCCTCCAAAATTTTGACCTATTTATTCCTTTAAAGCCTTTTATGCTCCTCCAACATTTTGACCTATTTATTCTTTAAAATACTTTATGCTCTTCCAACATTTTGACCTATTTAGAGTTACGTTTCTTTTAGTCAATCACTTTGAATTTTGTTAGAAAATGAGTCATTTTAAAGAAAAATTATAAAAAACATTCTATTGCTATACACGATTGAATTTTCCTGGACTATTTGGAATGAAGTTTTGCTGGTCCAAGTTGTCTAAGCCCGACTCAATGCTTGTTTTGACATTTACAGAATGTTTACAAAACCCTTGAGACCGAAGAACGCAGTGTACAATATAAGGCTATATAACTTTCCTCTCTAGGAAAGTCACTGTTTTCGAAAAGCTCAGAACAGTGACAGAGACAGAGAAGAGCAGCCCTAGTACAGAGACGAACTTTCTAGCTCCGAGTACAGACACGACTGATAGTTTAAACAAGCAGCAAGCTTCAAACTCTTCTCCCCCCTGAGAATCGCCTGCAACGTTTCTCAGGGAACCGACGTCTTGAATGCAAATGAGCTTTTAAGATCCCAGAAAGCATTCTTGGGGAACTGCTAACTGTCTTCCCTGGATTTCTGTACAATAGTGCCTTTGTAGAACAAAGTATAGTCACTGTATGTAGAGATGTTTGATAGACCTGATGAGTGAAAACATGTACATTAATATATCTATCTATCTTTCTTTCTTTCTATCCCTTGTAGACTTATTATTTGTGTTTATTACTCATCATGCTTTAAATAGCCCCATACTGATAATGATTGTGTTTATTTAACACCAATGTTTCCTTCTTCAGTTCTATTTCAAATCTAAACATTAGCTCCTTGTCCTTATAGTCTTGTTATCTGTCTATACTATACGTAGTTATAAAACTACAAGAAGCCTACAATACATTTTTGAGAACGATAACTACAATTGATGGTTGAATGTGTGTGTGTGTGTGTGTGTGTTCTAACACACTTAACTTTGTTACTGATCGTTCTGAGTATGAAATGCAGGAAGCTAGCGTCGTTCTCAGTGTGAAATGCAGGAAGTTAGCGTCATTCTGAGTATGAAATGTAGGACGTTAACGTCGTTCAGAGTGTGAAATGCAGGATGTTGGGGTCGTTCAGAGTGTGAAATGCAGGATGTTGGGGTCGTTCTGAGTGTGAAATGCAGGAAGTTAGCGTCGTTCTGAGTGTGAAACGCAGGAAGTTAGCGATCTTTATGATCCATTTTGTAAGAAAACCAAAGTTTAAAATCATTTCTGAGATTGAATATACATTTACATTGAATACTTTTCACATATCTCACGCACATGCCCCAATCTTCCGTCTTCTTTACAAAACATGACGATCTAGTAGGTATTTCTGGTTAAAGGTGATTATTGAGAGACGTGGATATGTTGACGTAGCGAAAGACGTTTCAACTAATCAGTAGTGTATTACACAGTATAGGTTGAAATACACACTAAACACCTGTAGTGTACTACACAGTATAGGTTGAAATACACACTAAACACCTGTAGTGTATTACACAGTATAGGTTGAAATACACACTAAATACCTGTAGTGTATTACACAGTATAGGTTGAAATACACACTAAACACCTGTAGTGTACTACACAGTATAGGTTGAAATACACACTAAACACCTGTAGTGTACTACACAGTATAGGTTGAAATACGCACTAAACACCTGTAGTGTACTACACAGTATAGGTTGAAATACGCACTAAACACCTGTAGTGTACTACACAGTATAGGTTGAAATACGCACTAAACACCTGTAGTGTATTACACAGTATAGGTTGAAATACACACTAAACACCTGTAGTGTATTACACAGTATAGGTTGAAATACACACTAAACACCTGTAGTGTACTATACAGTATAGGTTGAAATACACACTAAACACCTGTAGTGTATTACACAGTATAGGTTGAAATACACACTAAACACCTGTAGTGTACTACACAGTATAGGTTGAAATACGCACTAAACACCTGCAGTGTACTACACAGTATAGGTTAGAAATTCAC